TTTGAATTTGGAGGTAATTTAAGACTTTTGAGATATGATGGGGTGAATGTGTTTTAGAGAATGCTTCAACATTAGGGAATCTCTGAATGGTATTTAGTATATATTTATAGCCTACTAGATAAAAATACATATTCCCCCCCAAAAAGGCTGACAAGGTATTTAATATCCAAAACCCATTCCAAAGAGTAAACTGAGATGAAAAGTTTGACTTCTCAACTGCAGTCAGTTACACTTACTGCCCCCATTCACATAGTTGTTTTAAAAATAGTTGAGATAGCAACCTTTGTATCAGCCTCATAGAAGGTGCAAAAAAAAAATCTGTTCTTAAACGGCTTCCAATTTCTAAAAGTGAGAAAATATATGCAAGGTAATTTTAGTAAAAAGGGGTGTGCAATGTGTTGTCAGATGGATTTTACAACACTTTTAATCATAGTACTTCTCACATAGTTTTGAAATGATTTGGTCCCCAGTCTAGCTTCTTTATTAAGTTGTGAACTGAGGGCAAGGATCCTATTTTATTCCTCTTTGTGATCTATGGGCCTAAAATAGAGGGCAACCTATAGGAGAGTGTCTGTAACTGTTTGTGTGATAAATTACATGAATAAATAAAGAAGGTGGTTAAACAATTCAGCGATCAGAGACCATGTCTGGCTCAAGTGACTAGGCAAGGCAATAGCATTTTGGTGGGACCTTAAAAGATTTCAAGGTAAATGTTTTGTCCAAGGAAATATGGGCAGAAGGGAGGAGGAAGCAGGGAAAGGAAATATGGAGTTGAAAGGGAGTTCAGAACTTGCTTTATATAACTTCTTGCTTTGGTTATCTAGTACTGCTATAGCAGAAATAACGTAAGCAGACAGCTTTAACAAACAGAAATGTATTCTTTCACAGTGTCGGAGGCTAGAAGTCCAAGTTCACGGCACCAGTTCTAGGGGTAAGCGTTCCCTCTCTGTTGGCTCGTAGTTCCGGAGAAAGGTACTTATCTCCTTTCAGCATCGGTGGGCCTGGCATGCACTCTTTGGCGATTGCCATGTGATCTAGCGTAAATCTTCCCCTGGGCTTAGAAGATTCCCACTGCAGGGACTCTGGATCTAAGGGACACACTGCTCCTGGCTTTCCTTTCCTGGTTACTCCCTCTCTGTTTGCTGTCTTGTAATTAAAAGGTGTGCAGGCCACACTCCAGGGAAACTACCTTACATCAGGGAGAATCATTACATAACTACATTACATCATTAAATAACTGCCAATTCATGGAGAATCGTGGCCCAGCTAAAGTTGACACGTGTTTTGTGGGGAGACAGTTCAATCCACGACACTCATTTAATATAGAAATTTCATTTACACAGTGCTCAGGGATGATTGTTTTTGTTAAGCACTGTCGAGTAGGTTGCAAACTCCGAGAGAACCTACATAGGGTTTCCAAGGAGCTGCTGGTGGGTTTGAACCACTGACCTTGTGGTTAGTAATCTTGTGCTTATTCTACAGTACCACACCAGGACTTCAGAAACCACCCTGCTCGGTTAATCTAATTTGGTTTGGACAATCTGCCCTAGCACTAGTTTTAATTTCTCTAGAAATGAATTCATTTTTGAAGATCTATTATGTAAAATCTCTATGCTTTTTAGGAAGTGTTGTGTTTTTGTTTTGTTTTTTTCCTATGACAGGTACTTTTTCCAGCATTTGTTGTTTACATAACTGAACAAAATCATACCCAAATTTTGTTATGCAGCACTATTTCTGACTAACTACACATAACTTTTTTTTAAAACTTAATATAAAATATTATTGGACACACGTCAGAAACAATTTTAAAAAATTCTCCAGCTAAGACAGAAGAAATGTTTTATTGTTTATATGTTACATTCAGTCACAACTGAGAACAGAGAACAAAACTAGTCTAGAGCGTCATAGGTGCAGGACAAAGGATCAAAACAAACTGAACTGGGATAGCAAGGTGGACCTCAGGTGTTCACAGCATTTGTGGAATAGGGATGGAAGTTCTAGATCCACTGAGCCCAAAGTTCTAGACAGTAGCACATAGTCAACAACTTGTACCAGTGTCGCGGCCTCTGGCATTCCATATTCCTGCTGCTCTGACTTCCGTGGGTGCGTTTGCTTGACTTCTGCCTCATCTTTCTTGTTTTGCGCTTCCTCTGCTTGGTTCTCATGGCTCGGAGATTTCTAATAAGATGGTGCTAAGGCCAAGAGAGCTCAGATACAGTTTTAATAAAATGATTTACATTTAAATGTGAATGTGACAAAATCAAACTGGGGCTGAATTCAGATCAGTTTATTAACTAGACTTTGGGGCCTCGTATATAATGATGATGGTACAAACTGCTAGCCTCATTCATCAAGATCAAGCTCAATATGAAAACTTAGTACATTTTTCTCTTAAAAGGAAAGAAATCAAAGCACTAAAACTTTACAAACCTAGACAAAAGAAGATTTCTTACATTGTAAGAAAGCAGACACTCTTCCTTCGCTGGGTCAATTGTATAGGAAGACATTTGGTGATGGATCCAACCTTACCTGCTCCCTCCTCATCACAGCAGAACTCTCTCACTGTGGCACCACCCTTCCCTTCAGCTCACAGCACATTCTCCTCATTTCTGCCAGGACTCGTTTAATGGAAAAGCAGCACAAGGGCTAAGAAGCAGAACCCAGGGTTCCAGGATCCAAGCTAAGAGCAAATATATCCCTAAAAGTGTAACTTTCTGTGTATCTGTAAAATGGCTTCTTGGGTTCAGACACTTTGTCTCAAACATTCCTTGTTGCAGATGATTTGGTTTTATAGTTGATGGGTTGGAAGCTATTTCTGGAGGAGCTGCTGAAGCTTGGGAAACACTTTCAATGCATTCTGTGTTGTCACTTCTATAACTTCGTCCACTGAGATCCCTTTCACCTGGGCAATATATTCTGCTGAAATGGAAATGTTCCGAGGCTCATTCCGTACCTGAAATAGAACAGAGCAGACACTAAATCAAACATAATACCCACGTCAAGATTCATTGAATACATGGTCTATTTTTAGCCAGGGGTACAAAGTTTGCATCTGACTGCTAACCTAAAGGTTGGCAGTTCACACCCATCTGGTGGTACTGTGGAAGGTAAGCCTGGTGACTTACTTCCATGAAGATTACAGTAATGAAAAACCTATGCACTAGTTCTACTGTCTGAGATATGGAGGTGCCATGAGTCGGAAACAACCAAAAACAACTGACAAACTTTTTATCCCCCCTTTTAGTGGAAGGTGGAGAGAACAGTGGGGAGAGTCAAGAGGGGAAAGAAATCCTGAACTGTGGCTTAAAAACTGTGGCTGCAACACTGATTAAAAGTCTATGCTGTCCCTGTAAAGGACCCTGGGGTTTTGAGTTCCCAGCACTTAGCACAGGAAATTGTGAACAGTCAGTAAGCTGCCAGAAGGATGGATTAAATGTCCTTTGGCTTACTGCTTACGTGAACACTGTGCCCCTTTGCCTCTATACCTCACAATTTTATTCAGGAAATGCCACTGTGTGTCAGAAAGACTAAATGAATTATGTACTGGTTTGGGGCTGTGATAGTGTGACTGGCAGTGTGTTGTGTTTTTAACATAATTTTAATGTTTTTGTTGTTGAAAATATACATAGCAAAACACACACCAATTCAGTACTGTCTATGTGTACCATTTAGCGACACTGATCACATTCTTCAAGCTGTGTAATCAGTCTTACCCTCCTTTTCTGAGTTGTTCCTTCCTCACTGACATAAATTCACTGCCCACTAATGATCCTATCTCATTTTTTGAGTTGCTGCTGTCAATATGATCCCACATAGGCAGTTCTTTAAGGAGCATAATGTTTAAGGGAGACAGTTTTTATAAGTCAAGTTGAACTGTTTGGGTTAAAGAAGACTTCCAGGGATGTTTTTGGAGTAAGTTTTAAAGAAGATTCTGAGCAACAGTTTCAGGGACTCATCCAGCCCCTTGACTCTAGGAAGTCAAGTCATGAGAATTTGAAATTCTGTTCTGCATTTTTACTTTTGATCAGGAATCTTCTATAGAATCTTTGACCAAAATGTTCAGTAATGGTAGCCAGGCACCATCCAGTTCTGGTCTCACAGCAAAGGAAGTGGTTGTTCATGCAATTATCCACACCTTCCATTTCCTCCTCCTATTCCAGATTCTCCTCCTCCCTGTTACTCCAGGTAAATAATGACGAGCTGTGCCTTGGGTGGCACTTACAGTTCTGAAGACCTCAGGCAATACGACTCAATGAACTGGGAGGAAGAACAGAAGCACTAAACATATATGCTATTAGGCCAATTAACTGATTATGTCCCATGACATCTTGAGCTTAATCCTCCAAACCAAGGAACCAAATCCCATGAGGCATTTGGTTGTATAGAAGCAGCCCAACTGCTAGTCTTGTTTTTGTTTTTGCCATTGTTGTTAATATATTACACAATGTTTGCCAATTCCACTTTTTACAGGTGTACAACTTATTGACAACATTGACAATAATCAGCTGTCAACCTACCCTTAATCAGTGTAATGTTTCATTACTGTAAATAGAAACTCAATACTCCATAAGCAATAACCCCTCCTTTCCCACTAAGAAATTGTAGTCTCTATACATTTGCCTGTTATTGTCTTTTTATAGAAATAAGGTCAGAAAATATTTGTTCTCCTTTGAGTGACTTATTTTACTCAATATAGTATCTTCAAGCTCCATCCATATTGTATCATCCATATTGTATCTAGATTTCATTTCTCTTACTGAGTAATATTCCATTGTATGTACCACATCTTGTTTATCTATTCATCTGTTAATGGGCATTTAGGTCATTTCCAACTTTGGGCTATTGTTTTTATATTCTTGAAAGCATGGATATAAAAAATGTGAAATTAACTGGACATTAATTAGCAAAATTTGCATTGTGATCATAAATAATCATAATTAATTAGTACTCATGGCACTAATGTTCCCAAGTCTCTTAATCTGGGATGTCAGTCCTTTGAATGGGGCAGACATGGAGACACAGATGTAATGGGCAGCCAGAGCTGTTTACTGGGAGGTTACTGTAATAGGAACTGAATAAATAAATAAAGCAGACACTATATCTTCCTTTCTGTCTTGGTGAGGCATTGTGGGTTAATGTGCTGGATTACAATGTTGGTCTAAACTACAAGGTTGATGGTTCAAGCTCGCCAGCCACTCCTTGGAAACACTACAGGGTTGCTATGGGTCAGAACTGACTCAAAGGCACTTAACAACCTAACAACACTGTATCTTCCTTTCAGAAAGTGACAACTGGAAACAGTATCAATATGTACCATTTTAAAAGTATGGGTCATGAAAACTTCTATTTCCAATTTCATTCTCTTTCATATTGGTACTGTTTCAATGTATAATTTTTCAAAAGAAAGCTAGTGTCTGCTTTATTTATTCAGTTGTGCAATATGAGGGGGCTTCAAAATATTCATGGAAAGATTCCATTATCTACAGATTTTTTTAAGCTATCTTATAGATCTATTTTGTATGGACAGAGACAGAACTTCATTATAGCATGGTTAATTAAACAAGAAAAGCAAACACTTATTGAACACCTGCTATATACCAGAAACTGCTAGACACATTCTGATAGATTACTTCATTTAATCCTCACTGGAATCCTTTACAGTATTCATAATTTTTCCCACACTTATAAATGAAAAATATTCCACAGATTAAGTGACCTACCAAGTCACACAAATAAAGGGTAGCAAAGACAGGATTTAAGGCCAGTTTTTCTGCCTCTAGACACCATGCTTTATATTTTTACTATAATAGTGTAATCATTGAATAATATCATTAATATCACGTGCAAGTAAAATTATCTGAAGATAATTTTAAAACGTCAGTAACCATACATCGATAGGGAACTGCCAGAAATTCTAGCCAAATTCTAAAGAAGGTATGCAACTAGGTTATCATTGTTTACGTCAGAAGGATCTTGGCTGAAAGCAGAGAATACTAGAAAGATGTTTACCTTAGCTTTACTGACTATACAAAGGCTTTTAACTGTGTGGATACTGACAAGTTATGGATAACATTATGAAGCATGGGCATTCCAAACATTTAATTGAGCTCATGAAGAACCTGTACGTAGACCATGAGGCAGTTGTTTGAACAGTACAGGTGATACTGAATGGTTTAAAATCAGAAAAGGTGTGGGTCAGGGTTATATCCTTTTACCATATTTATTCAATGTGTATGCTAGGCAAAGAATCCAAGTTGTTGCTGTTAAGTACCGTCGAGT